CATAATTTTCTTTCGCCTTCACAATGTTTTGAAGTAATTTCCACATACACTTTGCTAATTTGACTGAAGATGGCCATTTGAATAGCCGAAACATGTATCAACTTTCAACCTTATTGAAGCAGGATTGACTGCCTTCTTAGACATTAAAATTTGTGGAGACGACTTTGAGTTTTTCTCTCTTGATACAAATAACTATAAATAGTGACATTTACTGTCTGAAATGATAATAAATGAAAAGTAAACAGCAAATAAACTTTTCTCTTATCCGGTTGTATAGCACGAAAAAAATCAACATAAAATGTAAGGGATGCCGACGATTTCGAATGTATTCCGATGGTTCTATAAATCCACCAGTGCAGGAACTCCTCTACAGGGTGGTCCACTTGATAGTAGCAAAACTTCGACAATCGATTGATAGATAGATATTTAGGTAACCAGATAGGAATCGCGTCATTTTGTCTAGGGTGTGATAGGATTTTGCGAGACGAGCGAAGCATTTTTATAGCAAATTGTAGATTGTTTTATTAGGATCAAAAGTGACACTCTGTTGGACAAGCGAATTTTGCATTCACGAGACGGAGCCTCTAGCGAAGCCAAGCGAAAGCAAATTTTGCGAGTCAAACAAAGTCATTTTTGATCCGAATGAAACATGCTATTTTTTCTGCAACCGAAACAATTAACTGAAATAAATATAAATGAAGTAATATGATTAAGTAAATAGAAGCAAGACCTCAGACTACTTTACTTTGTTACAATTTGGGTTCTCATGCATCATGTCATCAGAGACACAGGCACGAATTCAATACTACCCGAAACGTGAATGCCGTGCAATGCAACAGAATAATCCGTGTGGTGAGAATATTCAACCTGCATTTACAGATCAGGTTTATTCAATTTCCAAGGATGTTCCAATTGTAGTTAAAATATAAATACAACCACAGAGTATTATATTGTATATCTGAGTATTCTATTGAATGGATGAATTCATTTGGACCAGGTGTCAGCCCTAATAGCAAATACCGCGCCAGTGCCAGGTATTGTACAACTTTGGTATTGAAAAACTTGAATCCACATACGCTGAAAATAATAAAAATCCATTGTAATTGAAAACAAGAAGACAAGAACTTCTATCGATTGTCGAATTTCAGGTACTCACTTTGAATTGGATCACCCTGTATAAGCTGTTAAAATGTCACCATTTCGAATTGATATTTATGTTCATTGGAAGAGCTTACTGTGAGGCGATCTTATCGACAAATTAAGGATTTCATCGTAGAAAGTTCATTTTGTTGTTTTCGTTCGGGAACAATTCAAGTTTCCTTTTATAAGAACTCTCAGGAAAACCCATTAATCTCCCAATGGACTCGCTTTCCTGCAATACCTACTCTAAGCTGATATAGCTATTTCCTCCAACGTTTCGATGTATTTTTTATTCAGTTATTTAGTCTTGAAAAGCGACAGCGCTAGAACAAATTTGGAAACAAAATGGCATTTCCTTGACATAAATAATGACAGAGAAATATCATGATAGTATACAGGAAGGATATACAGGGTATAATTCTATTGATAGCTTAGGATATAGGATATGATTCCTCAGCTCATTTTAAACACTCTTTTATTATAGTAGGAGAGCCGGCTGCAGATTTCTACCGTCGTCTGATAACGAAATGATATATGTTCCAAAGGCATGTAATCACACAAATTTTGTCAATCGTGTCTGGCCTAGACTACTCAACCGATTATCATGAAATTGTGTGAACATATTCTCATATGTATAAGAAAGAACATAGATGAAAAATTTACGACGGGTATAAACAAATATTTTGGCTGACATGATTGTTGGACACTAAATTGATATTAATTATTGGAATACGTCTTTTGGGAATCACAAGTCTGGGATTATTTAGATGATGAAATGAAAATGACAAATATCAAAACAAACATCAGGTGGGCACTTCGAAGGCGCAAATTCATTACTGCATGGGAGACACCCTCAAGATTTAATGCTATTCAGTGACTTGACCACGAATGACATTGACGTTTTATTCTTCTGCGCAACCAAAATTCACGAATTCAATACCTGAATTGGTTTATCTAGAGACAGGGCACAACAAATAATCCATCAGTCGCGTGTACATTTGACAACGCTGACAGCCTCACTTTTCTTATTTGTTTACAAAGGATCTAAATAGATTCCTTGGAATATTTATTAATTCGAGCATGCAGTCACATTGTGCTGTTGTACAATGCACAAAAACTACAGCGAGAGAAGAGAAGAGAGCAAACATTGAACTACTGGGAGAAGTCCGGCCCAGTGCAGGCAATTCTAGGAAAGTGACGATGCCGAAGTATTAGTAATGGGCCGATGATTTTCCTATGCTAAGTAACCATCAGTTAAAAATACGGTGATGGCCTTGTGATGGTAAGATATCTGGAACTAGTTGAAGACTAACGGGTTGTGGCCCTTTGCTGGCCATATTCCTGTTCACTATTCGTCCCCCTGATGGTTTTTCTGGGAACATATACATCAGCAATCAGCTGATCATTTGGATCATTATTATATGTGACCTAGTGATAGCGTATGTTCCGTGTTTTTCTGGTTGTTGTCGAATTATTGTGCTCCTCACTTTCCCTGGTCATTATTTATGATGGCAGGAGTATTCCCAGTTGAGAACATAGATGATGGATTCTTCAATTATGATAATATTGAGTAAGTATCAATCTACTTATCCAGTGTTTCGAATTTCATTATGTAATGCATGTGTTTGGTATCTCATAACATCATATAACATCATATTATAATGATCATAATAATCTGAGTGGCTCTACCTCTCCAGAAGAATAACTATCATGTTTAACTCGTTCGTTGATATCAAAAGTAATCTTAGGTTATGTAAACCTGTCCCTATCATTGAACTGAATAACAATAAGAAATGAATGTGCAAAAAAAATAATGAGAAATTGAAAAGCTCTATATATGTTATCACGTTATCAAACTATATTGATCACTTATGCAACAGTATTTCTTTTCTCATACTCCTATTATAGAGGAAGAATTCTGATATCAAGAAAGGCCACTGAAAATTGATGAAGAATTTTATATTTCAGGAGTACCTCGCAACGAAGTGGTAACAAAGGTAATTGGGGACAACTACATTTAAGGATTTTTTTTTCATATTTTTATCTGCAGGATTACCTCTCGAAGTGTATGAAAGTTATTCTCGGACACCCTGTATAACTGACGTTATGTAACAGCCGTTCTCTCTAATTCAATTATCTCGAATCCATTCGAAAAATTTACCTACCATTCCAGAGGTGAAAATTTGAAGGAAAAATTGTTGCTGAGCCGTTTTTAGCATGTGAACCTCGATGTCAACAAAATCACAACAAGCCCTTATGCATGTGTTAATGTATTACAATGTTTTGAAAAATGTCATTTGTATGTATCTGTCACAATTTTCGTGAATTCAAATGAGCTTCATTCGTTTTTTTTTTAAATATATTTACAAAATTATAACAGGGTACAAAAGAGCTAACATAAGAAGGCGCTGGACGACCAAAACGCGAAAAAAATTATCGTTCAAAATTAGAACTGTTGTGAAAGTTAGGGTCTGATACAAGATGATTTTGGCAATTAAGCTAATTGCAAGATCCTTGCAGAATTTGCAATTATAATTTTTAACGAATGGAAAATATCGTTTCTATCGCAATTGGCAGATTCCTAATTGAATCTTGCAATTAGCTCAATTGTCAGAATAGTATCTCAATTGAAAATTCAAACATTTTTTCCGTATTATTGCCGTTCACTGTTTTTATAGAAACTAGACATCACAAAAACTATCAATAAAAACCCAAAACACCACAAAATTATTCAGAAACGTATGACTACCATATCAAAGCCAAAACCAGGAGAATTACGAAAAGAAACCCCCAGCAAGAAAAAATATTACTGAATATTCCAAGATAAACAACAGTATTGACTAGATATCCAATAACCGAGTTTCACCGAGTATTTGTTCTGATTAAAGTTTTATCTAACATCTAAGATGCTTATAAAGCACAAAATAAAATAGGCCAATGTAGCAAAACATGCCTTGATCACGGATATACACGATATATCTTTCAAAAGTCTGAACAAATAACAACATACAATGAGGACCAAAAGTCCGTCGACCCCCTCGTGAATTCTTCATTTTACGTATCACAAAAAAAAAGTTGAATACATAAATTGTAGGGTTTCATTCGATCTATTCAATGTTTTGAGTTTTGTTTAAACATGATGTTCCAAAAAAGCGCAGTGACTTGTACATAACTGCATTTATGGATTCTATGTTGAATTTTGAACAAGATTGATACGATTGTTTTATATCAGAAAAGTAAATCATTTTGGAATTATGAACAATAATTGTGAATTATTATTTGGACTATTTGAGCACTTGTTCACTGAGGAGACCTTTACAAATGGAACACATGCATTTCACTTTTCTATCGTACCTTTTGAACGCAACATTTTTTGTAATGTAAAATAAAGAAGTTATGGGAGGGGTCTCAACGAACTCAAACGAGAAGTCATAACTTCTTGAAGATTGAGAGTATCAAAATCAGATTTGGTATAGATATGTGGAATGTGAAGAGCAGAGTTTCCGCATATTTTCCACTTTTTGGTTACTTCTGGTTTCACCGGAAATGGCTCTGGTTCTGAATTTTCAAATGAAACACCCTGTATTTTGTAAAATTATTTCGACATATTCACTTGCCTTGCCGTACTTCTGGTTTGATCGGAAACAATCCTAGCTTACGATTATGATTAGGAAATCCAATATATGTTCACTTTCACTATGTAGTATGTCAATTCGTAATAAAATGATCTTCCACAAAAAGCCGACGAGCCACCTCCTTTCCATCTGAAAAAATCAAATTTACTGAAAAAAAATCATATCTGCGACTTTTGAGATAATTCCTAAAACGATTCTGAAGTCATAAGCATCGAAATCGTATTTTTTCCATGTTACTTGATCAACAAACAATGAAGCATTCTAGATCGAAAAATGAAAGTTGAATGAAAAATTCAACACCAGTAACCAATCAAATTGGGTTTCTCTGACAAATCACCATCACAACATATGTATTCAGTACAACAAATTCATTCTTGGTTACTCAACTGCGAATTAAATCGGAATTTGTTTAACGTTTCATTGACATAATGATATAAAATTGTATAGTAACCCGAAGTTGATATAATATGGAAAAATACTATATGTTACATTCTAAACTGTGTATTTTCATGCAACTACAATAGGTAGAAATAATGAATTTATTTATGAACCTATATGTAAATCAAATATATAAATAAATTCTAAATTGATTTAATCTCCAGATACAATCTGCTGTGAGATTGTCTTACCGAATACCAAAGGAATTTAAATTTTTTGACCTCATTGATCTTTTGAAAATTATTTGTCAAAGACCCAACATCTAGTGGTATTACAAGTGAAATATATTGGCAAGTGAGGTTTTGTGATTTAAATTGTAATTCTCGATCGAAATAAGTCAAAATAAATAGGATGTCCCATTCAAAAATCTATATAGGAGTAATTTCCTGTCAAACCAGAAATACGACGGAGTAAGTGGATACGTCAAAAATGCAAACTGAATTATTATACACAACCCGAATTTCGTTTCTCCATCTTCAAGGTTATAGGTGTGAGCCACCTGAGAAAATCACCCGGTATATCCGCGATCAAAACAACACATTTCTAGTACTATTACTCATCCTCCTCCTCCTCCTTCTTCGCCCCGTTACCGGCATCCAACGACGTTGCCAGATCCTGCGGCTCCGTCACCGGCAGCGAGCAAGCGAAATTCCTGCACACGTACGCCGCCGGTTTGCCATGAACGGGCCTTAAACGGTTGAGCGTCTCGTGCCGGCTGTAGAGCAGGCCGGCCCGACCGCCAGGCCCGTCCACGATGGCCAGGATGCGGCCGGGCAAGAAACGCGAGCGGACGACGTCCAACAGCGCTTGCGTGTCGGTGTTTTCCGTTTCTCCAGCGATAAACACCTGCAACGGGAAAACGGTAACGGTGTGAACAAGGCAGTAGGGTAGGGGTAGGCTCTGGATCATCGCGAAACAACTTCCCCCATGATCGATATATCGACGTTGTTCGTTCGCAAGCATCAAAGGTTTCGTGAAAAAACGTCGGGAAATCATCGAAAAAGTGTGAGAAAGTGTAGGAAACAGAGAATCCTCGAAAGCGACGAGAGCGAAACTCCGTTGAAAACAAGGAAGGACGTAGAAAAAATGTTGGAAAATGTAAATGCATGACAGAATGTGAATATGGATGAATAAGCATGAAGAATCTTGAACGAGTTCCGGATACAGTATGTATCACGTGTCGAAAACATTGAAAAAGTGAGAAAATGATTGATAAAGTGTCAAGACACGTGAAAATCAGCAGGAAAGTTTGTAAAACCGACAACTGTTAGGAAAAAGCGTGAGAAATGACGATAGAACGTGAACGACAGGTTGAAAATATAGACGAGATTGAGAAACGTTGAGAAACTTGTGAATGCCTGAAAATTTCCGAATATGGATGAATAATCTCAAGAATTCAGGAGATTGAAAAAGTATCACGCATCGAGAACTCCAAAGAAGCGTGAGAATACATGCGACGTTGTGAAACCATGTACGTGTATAAGCGTAAAAAAGAAAGAATGCATAAAAAACCGCGAGAATGCACGAAAAAGCATGCGACGTTCCTGCACACATACGCCGCCGGTTTGCCATGGACGGGCCACAAGCGGTTGAGCGTCTCGTGCCGGCTGTAGAGCAGGCCGGCCCGACCGCCCGGCCCGTCCACGATGGCCAGGATGCGGCCGGGCAAGAAGCGCGAGCGGACGACGTCCAACAGCGCTTGCGTGTCGGTGTTTTCCGTTTCGCCAGCGATAAACACCTGCAATGGGAAAACGGTGGCGGTGTGAACAAGGCAGTAGTGTAACTGGGTCGCTTCTGGATCATTGCGAAACTACCTCCCCCATGATCGATATATCGACGTTGTTCGTTCGCAAGCATCAAAGGCTTCGTGAAAAAACGTCAGCGACGAGATCGAAACTCCGTTGAAAAACAAGGAAGGACGTAGAAAAATGTTAGAAAATGTAAATGCATGACAGAATGTGAATATGGATGAATAAGCATGAAGAATCTTGAACGAGTTCCGGAGACAGTATGTATCACGTGTCGAAAACATTGAAAAAGTGAGAAAATGATCGAGAAAGTGTCAAGGTACGAAAAAATCAGCAACAAAGTTTGTAAAACCATGAATTGGTGAGAGAAAGCGTGAGAAATCACGATAAAACGTGAAAGACAGGTTGAAAATATAGACGAGATTGAGAAACGTTGAGAAGCTTGTGAATGCATGAAAATTCGCGAATACGTATGAATAATCACGCTTGCGTGTCGGTGTTTTCCGTTTCGCCAGCGATAAACACCTGCAACGGGAAAACGGTGGCCGTGTGAATATGGGAGTAGTGTAACTGGATCGCTTCTGGAACATTGCGAGCATCAAAAGCGTCGAAAGAGCATTGAAAAAGTGTATAACGCGTCAAAATGCTGTTATTGTTATTTTAATATGTACAGCTAATACGAATTGTGTTATGAATGATGAGTATAATGTATATAATTTCTAGATCAAGCTCTATACCTTTTCAACTTCAATTTCGGAATCGGTGAGTTATATTTCGGAAAAAGTAATCTCGATTTCAGAATTGGTTAGTTCGATTTCAGAAATGGTAAACTCAATTTCAGAATCGGTGAGATGAATTTCAGAAAAAGTCCATTCAATTTCAGAAATGGTAAGTTGTATTTCAGAATTATTATTGGTAGGTTCAATTTCAGAAGATGAAATCCTTTTATATGTTTGAAATGTTTTTAATTGCAAAAGAGAAGACTGTTTACAGTGGATGGAACGGTGTTTGAGAGCGCTATGTTGAATCAGACTGAACATAATATATGGGGTGCCTTCAAGTCAGAAGTGAAGAGCTTCTTGCAAGAGCATCGCCAAAGGGTCATAGCTGGAGATCCGAACAGATTGCTCAACCAGATAGAATTCAGACTGCGATGTCCTTGAAGAATGTGCAGATCAATCAATGAACATGATAACACCTCAAATGTGTTTGTATTCTTATAATCATGTGCAACGCCACTATCTTCCAGCGATTCAGATAAAAGGCATCTGTGGATTAAATTGTTTTTGAAAAGTTGAATATTTTAAATATGGTTTGTTAATCTCACATGCAATTGGGAACATTTCGAACAAATATAAGGATTTTTTTTATGATATTGAACCTACCAATTCTGAAATACAACTTACCATTTCTGAAATTTAATGGACTTTTTCTGAAATTCATCTCACCGATTCTGAAATTGAGTTTACCATTTCTGAAATCGAACTAACCAATTCTGAAATCGAGATTACTTTTTCCGAAATATAACTTACCGATTCCGAAATTGAAGTTGAAAAGGTATAGTTAATTCCATTCTTTTCACCTACCTCCCTAACTGATACATTTTATTAGACATAGTCTGTTTGTAATCAGTATGAATAAACAAATAAACTGAATAAAAAATGCGCGTGGTAGTGTGAAAATACGTAGAAGAATGTGAAAAAGTGTGAAAAATCTTAAATAGGGGCAAGTCAACATGAAAAAAAGTATCACGCGTCGCATGCTCAGAGAAAGTGAAAATATCTGAGGAAGTGTGCAAACACGGGATAACCCGTAAAAATGGAAATCAAATGCGTGAAAAAGCACGAGAAAACCTGTAAGACCGTTGAAGGGAGGACGTGAAAAAGCATATAACTTCATGAAAAAGCGTAAATATGGAAGAATAACTGTATATCTTCAAGAAAAATTACTGAAAGTGAGTAGATTGATTTTCAATGTGCCAAGAAATGGCGTGACGTTTTTAAACGTTTTATCAACGAATGCCTGACGACCGAGTCACGTGTTGTTGGACAAAAGTGGAGTGGTGGGGGGTCTCCAGGGTGCCGATTCAACTACAATAATAATAATTGTGGAATATTGGCCATTTTCCGTTTGACGAAACTCACCTGCGTGGGCGAATTGTGATAGGACATAAGGGCGGACGTCATCTCGGGCAAGGCTATCGGGATGGAAGTCAACCTGTCAGCGAAGGCGGCCAGCGTGCGGCCGGCCTTCTCGCGCAGGTCCTGCCGCTTCAGGTACACGGCGAGCCTGATGAGGTTCTGCACGGCCACCGAGTTGCCACAAGGCTCGGCGCCGTCTTGATCTGCAACAAAAGAACGGGTGAACGAACGCGGCATCAAACACGGATAGATGAATGTAATGGCGAATGGTGCGAGCTGCCACAGTATAAAACAGTATATACTGTGGTGCTGCTGGCCTTCTCACGCAGGTCCTGTCGCTTCAGGTCGGCCATCTCGATGAGGTTCTGCACGGCCACAGAGATGCCGCAAGGGTCGGCGTCGTCTTGTTCAGCAACAAATAAAGCGAGTGAACGAAAGAGGCGTGGTAAATATGCGGAATAGAGGTCCATCGCACAAGCATTTCATGATCGTCAAGTTTCAACTATGTCATAATTCAACTAGGAAAAAGCCAAAATACTCAATGTGGAATGATATGTTTTTTCATGTCCTGGTTCCCACGAAAAGGGATATCCTGTAATGTTCAGAGAACATCGTGAGAACTAAGGGAAAGAAGGTAGGAATTGGTGTTCTTCTTAAATTTCTGGAGGTTATATGCCTCGGGGAACACCACCCTTGGCAATGTGTTCTAGAGCCTCGCTGTTCGTTGGATGAACGAGTCTTTAGAAAGAGATGTTCAGCAGGTCTCCAAAGTGACCACGAAGGGGTGCGAAGCCTCAATTCGACGGGTTAATCTCGCGGGGACTGCCAAGGGAGGAACAATTGTTAATATTTCAGAAGAGCATCGTTCATGAAAATATCTATAAATTAAGAGCCAGATCGCCAAATTTCCTACTGTGTTCCAGAGAAGTGAGTGAGTTTTTGAGCAAGGCATCACCCACGAGACGAATTGCCCTTTTTTGGACAGAATCCAACAGTTTTCAGGGTATGTTTGGGTGCTGCACTCCGAATATGGGAACAGTATTCCAGGACAGGTCGGATCTGTACCTTATAGATCACAAGAAACAACTGAGAGAGTTTTTGTTAAATTTTTATAGTATTCCTTGAATATAAAAATATAGAAATAGTGCTGGTATTTATTTATGATAGTAAAGTCATATCGAAATTGTAATTTTCCAGTCTGTGTCAAAATACTACCTATATATACTCATATATGTTGATATTGTATATACCGACGTTACTGTTGTTTTCTTCAGATTGTTATTTTTGAATGAAAGTTATGGAATAGGTAGGTACTTAGTTTTTAAATGATAGTAACCCATGTAAAAATAATAATTTGTAGAAGCAAAGCAACAACTTTCCTGTCTATATGCCACGCAGAACATCCTCCTGAAATCTATGCAACGATTCGAATTGACGAATACAGTTGCAAGTGTTTCTATCCTGAATGCTGAGTTGTGCTCAAATTGTTCAGGAACGCTTGACTACCTACAGACCGGTTTCGAGCTATGGATCTCATCAGTGCAGGGGTATCCCCAGATGGCATTCATGACGGCCATCTGGTGCGAACCTGACCCAACGTAAACACCTCTCAGCCACGAGGCGTTCGACCACTGCGAATGGACATAACGCCATCTAAGGAAGAAGGCAAGGAACACTCCACTGATGATTTTAGCACCCGAAAATCGACCGAAAAATTACTAAAGAATATGAAATTGAAAGGTTTTTGAGAGATGATTCTATTCAAGAAATAAAAAAAAAATAGTCCACTCGCCAATTCAATGTTCTGCGTGGTATACAGTCTGTCCAAGATAAGGTTGAACAGCATGGGGATCTCGAAAACGGTAAGAGATACGAAATCGGTTAAATGGGGAAAAGTTGCGCATTCGGAGGCTCATATCAAGAGCCTTCGAAAATTTTGAAATATATTTTTAGTTTTTGAGTTATATCGAAAAAAGTGAATTTTTGGAATTTCTATTTTATTTTTTGTTCTCCGTTATTATTAGAGATACAGCAAAACTGAGAATACTTTTTCATAGCAACTTTTGATGACGGTCAACGTGGCGATACCGATTTTTTCATGCGACGTTTCGTATTCGTGGAACCATCATCAACTTTTGTTTTTTAAATACGGTCCTGATAATTTTTTCACAGATTCTAAAAGGTTTTTTTTATTCTGAATTCAACCATGTATTATACAAGGTGGTTCATTTGTGTTTCGACCTATTTTTGGCCATCATCAATGTTTTTTCGAAACTCCAAAGGAAAAATGCCATCAGTTCCACTTATTTTGAAGGAAAATTAGTCAACACACTAATACCTCATCAACTGGTTTCAATCAACAACCCATTTCATTTTGCAGAAACAAAAATTCCATCCATACAAATTCAGAATATGTCAAGCGCTAAAACCAGGCGATGACGAAAGGCGCAAGACAGTCTGTGAGTGGTATACCAGGAAATGTTAAAATTTTGCAGATTTCTTTCGAACAATCATCTGGACTGATGAAAGCATGGTCACTAATCATGGTAGCTTCGATAGAAAAAATACACATTATTGTTCACGAGAAAATGAACATTTATACATTACAGCGAGACACCAACACCGTTTCGGCTTTAATATGTGGGTTGCAATATTTGGTACACGAATTATTGTTCCTTCTATTTACCATGAAACACAGACTTCCGAACGTTATAGAAATTCGCTTGAGAATCATCTTGAGGAAGGTCTGGATGATTTACCGATTGCGGAAGTTGAAGAACTCTGTTGGTTTCAACAAGATGGCGCTCCGGTACATAATTCCAGAGAAGTCCGTGCGTTTTTATCCCTTGGCCGGCGCGGTCGCCTGATTTGACACAGCTGGATTTTTTCTTAGGGGATATATCGAACTTTGTACACGCAAATAACTTTGAGGATGAAGAAGAACTAAGGGACAGTGTCTTCGAAGCATTCAATAGAATAACCCCAGAAATGCTTAGCAATGTCTTAGAAACAACTGTGAGAAGAGGATATCTTTGTTCAGAAAATAATGGTTATCATTCTGAACATTTGTTATGAATGTCTCTGTAGGTATTGTCAAAGTTAAGTTGTTAAAGTAATTCGTGTAAGAATTCATCAACAATTTTAAACGCTGCATTGATCGAATGATGTAGTGAAATATTTTTTATCCACTTTTCAGTATTGAATAACTGATCCATCAAGTTTGACACTAAATGGTAAGAAATAAGTGGAACTGATGTCTTTTTTTCTTTTGGAAGTTCAAAAAAACATTGATGATGGATAGAAATAGGTCGAAACACATTCGAATCACCTTGTATAGTACATTGTTGAATTCAGAATAAAAAAAACCTTTCAGAATCTGTGAAAAGATTATCAGGACCGTATTTAAAAAACAAAAGTTGATGATGGTTCCACGAATATGAAACGTCGCATAACAAAATCGGTATCACCACGTTAAACCTCATCAAAAGTTGCAATGAAAAAGTATTTTCAGTTTTTCTGTATCTCTGATAATAACGAAGAAAAAAAATAAAATAGAAATTCCAAAAATTCATTTTTTTCGATATAACTCAAAAACTAAAAATAATTTTCAAAATTTTCGAAGGCTCTTGATATGAGCCTCTGAATGCGCAACTTTTTTCCCATTTAAGCGACTTCGTATCTCCTACCGTTTCCGAGATCCCCATGCTGTTCAACCGTATCTTGGACAGACTGTATAGCCAGGAAAGTAATTGTTTTTCTCTAGTTATCTACCATTTCCAATCATTGTATGTACTATTGTGGTAACTTTGAGTTAATCCCTCTTTGTTATATCAATAATTATCGATGGTAATTGTAAATACATCGATGAACTTGCCCACCTCCATTATTCACTTATTTTATACTCCTGGGGCCTGAAATTCCAGCGCTTATGAGGTCTGAGACTATCTAAGAGATGGTGAAAGTAAAGTGAAGAATAAGGACTTTTCAAATAAAAATTATACGACCGCAATGATTTGAACAAATGCGAGTTCGAAGCATCCGCACTGGTGATCCATCATCATTTGCAATAACTTTTCCTTCGGATTCAGAGCAGAAATATAACGCGAATACGGCTTTTTTTCATTTCTTCTTCGCTGAAGCATCCATCGACGGAATGTGGAAACATATTCAATTTAGGAACTATACAGGGACAGGGTGATTCATGAGGAGATTCACATAGCCAAATGGTGAATAGGAAATCAAAATGAGTTGATGTATTATACAGTGTGTCCATTTAGTGCGTAATTCTTCGATATCTCGAAATCCATTATCACTAGAGAAAAACTTTCGAAAACAAATTTATTTCGTTATTAAAGCTTCCATTTCAAGAATATTTTCTACAATACTGGGTGTTTTATAAAAGCGGGAGGACTCGGAGACGATTTTTTTTAAATAGAACACCCAGTATTTTTTATTCAAAATTTATTCCGCTGAGGTTTAGCTCTACATCGCTGTAAAAAAAACTGAATTTGGTTGCGGCGTTGCCAAGTTATGATTGATAAGCCCATTTTTACTACTATTGAAGGGTCATGTTGAATTGGGTATGGTATATTTATTGAAATTTTGAAGATATTTTTGGCATACAGTAGTAGCAAGTTCTCACGTACACCAATCCAGTAATTTTGCGACATGTTCTTCAACAGGGTGCTCAATTTTGCATTTAGAATTTTGCAACATTCAGATGACATTCATTAGAATTTTTTAAATGGAACACCCTGTATTTTTTTCCACAAATTTATTCCGACATCTTTCGCATCTGTAAAGGTCCTGATTTTGAATCCGAAGTGATTTTCAACCTATCTTGCCTCCTTATATAATTTTTTATGTGGATCCATGGCTGTTGGCGAGCAGTGTATATTACTGGAGACGACTACACTTGGTCATAGTGTGTATTTTCAGTATGTCTACCGCTCTTGCAATTTCAGAATCCTAACTCAACAATTACGAGAGATACAGGGGTGCTTCCATTAGAAGTGAGACACACTGTATAATGTTCATCTTGAGTCAATTCTGATCTTCATATCTCTTCATCTGAAGTCTAAGCTTCAAAATGAGCCTGAGATTTCAAAAATCGGTTGACGAGTAAAAAAGTTATATGACTGCAAAACC